AACCCTAGGAAAAAAAAACCTGGGATCCCGGACACCACAAAAGCACACGCCGATGTGTTGCGGCACCAGTGAACATACTTGGATTTTTTGGACGTTGCTTTTTCAGGCCGACTTCAAAGCGCATCCATCAGTTCAGGCCTTTTCAGCATGAGAATTCCAGATCAGACGTTTGCCGACCGATCACACGCTAAGGCCGACGCGTTATTACTTCACGCACAGTAACGAGCTTGATGCAAGAGCTTCAACCGACCATGTAGTCAACATTGGCCTCGCCGAACTGTCGCTGGAGTTTTGCCTCCCTTCTGTTGAAAGTTCTGGCGTAGATGTCCGACCATTCCGGTTTCCACCGACCTAAAAGGTGTGTCTCTGCCTTGTCGTTGTCGAGCATGGCCAGGCCAGTTGGAAAGACGGATCGTTCAGAATGCTTGAATCCACTGTCGCACCCTATACTCTCAAGAGGACTAAGAGGACCCAGCCGTGTAGCCAACCGCGTGACCGTACTCCGCCATCTTCCTGACGCAGCTATCGCCTGACGGGTCCAACTGGGGGATAAGATATAATCTCTATCGAATGCCGCTAGCTGGCAAAGACCCTGGAAGCCCCAGCCAAGCCAACGCGAGTCCAGGAAGAGTGCTCTTGCGCTCACACAGACCGGGAGTTCTTTGACGCTGCGGTTTGGCCCTGACGTCTTTGTCTTGCGGAGTATTGTCGTGAGCCTCCCATCGGCGAAGGTCAACTCCGCCGGTTTGGTGCTCTGCAGGTCATCCCAGCGCAAGCATGCCCAAACCTCTACGAGCTTAGACCGTGCGACGACCCTCCAGACGGCAAGCTCACTTTCGTCCATGACGTATCCTTCGATGGTGGCCAAGAGGTACACTGGAGGAGCCCTTTTGGTGACTGGCGCATTCTTGGAAAGCGCTTCAACAATCCGATCTTTAACCAACCAGACGGCTCTCCCTCCCTGTCGTGGTCCTGGAACTTTAAGGGAACTTGGCCACCCTCTCTATCCAGACCACTGCCTTCAGGAGCACTTCCGGCACCGTCCTACCGCACGGCTCTTCCCGCCTAACCATGAGGTGGTCAATCAAGTCCGCCTCAGCGCCGGGCACGCTGACGCTTTTGGCCTCCTGGAGCCACTGGCGCCATTGACTGAAATATAACTGACGTACCTCTTGACTGTCGTCGCCCGGGTCTTGACAGGAAGCATTCTTTCAGCTGCCATCCTGTCCGGACAACTTTCGAGCTTTCTCATGGCTGGCGCGTCCATAAGACGAAGCTCTTCCAGAAGCCGATCTGGCCAGATATCGAGCAGACGTTGCTGTCGTGCCTCACACTTCTCTTCCGCGGCTGTCCCCTTTCCTACACGGTTCCTGTCGATGGCACCCACTCGCTGACGATCTCCGGCAGCTTCTCCACTCCTTATAGGACGCGAGCTGCCCATCTGCCCTGGCGGCCAGCCTGGCTGGCTCTTGCGAATCTCTCACCAAATGTCTGACGAAATCTACCAAGCTGTTGCACATAGGGAGGTCGAGCTCCGAAGTTAGCTGTCGGGTTATCGCCTCGCTGTCGATTGAATCCAGCACCGCTGGCTCTCGGGAACCAAAAACCAAGCTGTCGCAGACTTCCGACACTGTCGGATATCTGCCGAGTCTTCTTCCATCGCGTGGGCCAGCCCACGTTCCCTCCCATCCTACGCACATCAAAATTGCCCCCCCTTATAGGCTTGAGCTTTCATATCTGTCATGTCATGTAACGCCATGTCACATGTGTGAAAACTTTCAAACTCCCCATGTTCATACATGTTCACGCGGAAAATCAAAATAAGGTTTCTGTCATTCCTTACGAACGACCGTTCGTACCTACGGCACTCACCTCTAACTTTCAGGCTAGCATACATACACTGTCGTAATTTGTTCCTCATCACGAACGCAAAGCCATATAGACAACTGTTTGCCAATGTGGTCCATTCCATCGTCTGCGAACACGCAACCCCTATAGCCATATGTTCCGAAATACTGGTGAGCTCCGTCGAGAAAAGCGCATGACCTCTGACACCTGCCTAAAAGTTCGCTGTGGACAATCCAAATCCAACTGATTGGACTTTCATTCCCAAGAACCAAGAAGCTCCATGCGGCTGGCCTTCTAGAAAACGTAGTATCATGCGTTGCAGAGGCAGATCGATTAGAATTCCCAGCCATTTTGCGGGCAACAAGTCTACTTGACTTGTCTACTTGTCCGCCGAAATAGTTGTAAATGAACGTATCTGTCTTCTGGTAGGAATTTACGTCCACGGTGAAAATATTCTCGGCCTTGAACACTTTCCGGTCAGTGTCTCTAAAATGTTTCCTGCGGAGTTGGACCTCACCAGTGCGGTTGCCCTGCTCAGAGATGCCCAAACATGCCCCAGAGCGCATACTGTAAATTTACATGACAGCGCCTACTGCTGGCCTTCCACACTCAATAACGCCTGGATTCTTAACTGAATAATGGCATGAAGCTGAGAATGGAAACTAGAATTTACCTGCCGATTCAGTTACTACACACCAGTACCCGCCAGGTGCATTGCCTATAGTGCTCGCAGTGACTCTCGGCGTCTGATCTCCTGGTTTTCGGAATACAAAGGCCAAAACTTGTTCGAGCGCTCAACGAAAACCATCATCACTCAAAGCCAACGGTGGGGCGCCCAGTTATCAGATGTTGCTAGAACGGCTTCAACACCGCCGGTGAATGGGACGCAAGATCCACAAATCCCTCTGACGGAGAACGAGTTGACGGAGGTGGCTGAGCTCTTCGAGGAGGTCCACCGACTGCTCAGAGAGATGGAGGTCAAGCAGTACAGCGAAGCAATTGTGGCGAAGGTGGAGGCGACGGCTGAGGCGCTCCAGTCTACGAATGACCTTTCCAACGTTTCGCCTCAGGCAGTTGACAGCATCCTGAAGCTGCTGACAATGCGCGGCCACCTCCCTGGAGCCCCCTCCATTCAAGAGGAGTTCTCCAAGTGGCCATCAGGCGCTCAGACGATATCGCGATGCAACAAGTTCGCTGCAGCGCGCCACTGCAACAGACGCCAAAATTGATGAGGCGCAGACGATGCTGATGCTTGAGGAGTGCCCAGCAACCGCCTTTGCGAACGTCAAGGCTAACCCTGACACGCTGGCAGCCGTGTTGCACTTCTTGGAGAAGGGGCGCAGAGCGGTGGCACACAAGGCGTGTCTGCTTTTTTCTGCGCTGTTCATTGAGCGGGGAGGTCAGTAGGTCAGCATGTAGACCAGGCAGGCAACCTGCGTGTGTAGTCGTTTTTTGTCATGGTTGCGGATTGCAGATGTGTCAAAGCGTTGCTTTTTGCACCAACGAGCCGGGTCCTTTTCGCCTCCCAGAAAGATGGTGATGAAACGTAGTTTAACATTAGTTTGTTCAATTTTGTTCGGTTTTGTTTCTGCTACGGCTACGGCTTTGAGAGCTATGAATATCTGGGAGGGTCCGTGTTCGCTGCGGCGGTGGGCCTGCAGTCAAGATCTTGTCCAAATTTTGGGGAAGTTTTACGGGAGGCAGTGACAGAGCGACATCAGGACTCAGGACATCACAGCAGCATGATGGCTGCGCAGGCGGATGGACTGTGTTGGCTTTCTTTCTGAAACGAGTGGCATTCTTGCTGACAGGGTCGAGTTGACAAACTTTCTCAGTGCCTGGATCAGTTTTTTCTGTTTGACGTCTGCGTTGTGACATTGTGATGCTTAGGGCTGCTTGCCGTGCTCAGCTGCTGTGACAAACAAACAAGTGCACATAGGGGTGGAGCGCGACGATTGCAGTCCTACGCTGCTGCGTGTGTGCCACTTTTTGCATTCGCCGTAGCTACCTGCGCTGCAGGAGTGAGAGGTTTGAGACGCTTTTGGCAACGCGCCGCCACGCATGTGGGTGTGTGGGATAGCCGCTGCTTCAGCTGAAACGCCAATGATCTAGCTGCTGTTGTATCTGCTGCTGTTGGATTGGACGTTGGTTACCTGCCCTAGCTAACCTATAAGTGCAGTGTTGTGGGTGTGTGAGAGCTTTCAAGTTGACCAGCATGTCCGTTTACTACGCAGTACTTTGGCTGCTATGTGTTTAGGCCGTGACGCCGAATGCCGAGATGGCCGTGGCGAAGTCAGGCGCGTGGACCTTGATCCTGCTTTACAAGACCGTCATGGGGAATAATCCAGGAGGATTTCATGGGCCAATCAGGTTGAATGAACAAAGAACCAGAATCCCCTTCCTTATTGTTCTCCCCTGGCTTCCTTTTCTTTGTGTGGAGTGGTCGGCAGTCAGCGCGAACGGCATAAACATCTTGAACATGTGCGCTGCAACATTATGGCAAATTAACAAACAGTAGCCCGCATTCTCTGGTCGAACCACATGTTCAAGTTGAAACCTCAGTGCCAGACATCAATATAGTTGTCTGTGGACTTTTTCAAATTCTTGAGGCTGATGACAATCACGGTCTTGTTCATGAGCTCTGTCAACTTCTGGATGCTCGCCATTGGCTCACCCTGAGCCCGCCAAAATGCGGGCCACCCTGCTGCCAACCATGGCACGTCTGAACCGCAAAGACGCAAGCAGCCCACGCGGTCCTCGTTTTGCCGAAGATGGGCTGCGTCTTTTCTGGAGCATTCAGGACTGCAGTTCTTGCTTTCCAGGTCCTTGCGATATGTAGCACGCTTCTTCCTCTGCTGCCGGGCGTTCAGCATCAAGTGCAGTTCGGAATTTTTCGCCAGAAGGTGCGCAGATCCACCAAGCTCACTCAAGCGCTTCAACGTGGAATGTGTGATGGTGCAAATGGCCCTGGCACTGGACTGAAGCCTGCTCCACCTGGTCTTAAGGTACCACCATAAAATTACTTGGAAGGTCACATGTTTCCAATGAATTCTTAGGACAGGCGTTGAATGCTGCGTGAGGCTCAGCAAGCAATTGAGAAAACGTGCTCTAAAATCACACAATCTTTTGATTTCTCTCCATTTTATCTGTATCTCGATTGTGCAATAGCCTGAGTTGCAAACGTCAAATCGTCCAGGATTTGGTCAATTTGGTCCGTCCTCAAGAAACGACGGCCCAGTGTGCGCAGCGCATGCCATTCGTACTGCGCAGCCATGAGTCAGAGTCTGCAGGGTATGTCCAGACTTATGATTTCTGAGGAACACGGCTATGGCTAATCTCATAAATGGCCCGATGAAGGCCAACGTAACGTTGACAAAGATTTTGCTCTGGAAGCGATTCGGCTAGACAGAGACCACTCGTTCAACCGCTACTGCGAACGACATGAACGCTCTTGTGGCAAGACTCAGCATTTTCACTTCGTCCAACGACCTGCGCGTCTGATGTGCGTCAATGCACGAAACTGGACACGACGCTACCCAAGGTGTCACCTCACCTTGTTTTACACCGTGACACCTCTTCTTCAGCTCTGTCTTGCCTGTCTGGGGCGCATGAGTAAGAAAACGACATTTCATTACTAGCAACTAGCAGTCAGGGTGACTGGACATTGCTGGGTTCCCCAAATCTCCGAAAGATAGACTGGTCCGTTATGGGACAGCTAGCAGCCTGCCCGGTTGCACGCACAGATTGAATAGCGTCACTGTCCTAGCCCTAGAGTCTACAGCCTGCAATCCACCCACACGCAAGCCCTGAGCTTAAGCGAACACAAAACATGGATCAGACGTCCACTCTTTCACGCTGTTCTTTGTGGACGCATTTGGAACGGTAAGTCCAGTGCTTCGCACCTACAATTCGATTGTTTATTTTTGTGGAAGAGCGGAAGAGCATGAGTCATCGACAAACTTCTTTGCACAGCAAAACACCTTATCAATATCTGGAAGAGGACTTGCTTAGCGTGTCCAGTTTATGATCTTATGGCCACAATGCGCAAATAAAAACGACCATCGATTCTTTTCTTCATGCTCATCTTTTTAATGATCGCGCAATTTTCTCAAGCAATGTGCTTCCTGTATCATCAAGGCAAACTAAAATTCCACAGATTGACGCGGCTCATTTTCATCATCATTTTTTCGAACTTGCGCTTTGCACGCGGTTGCGTGTGACGATTTTGGACAACTGTGCGTTTCACCTGTTTCCGTCCAGTGTTTGGCCACAGTTTCCAAGCAAAAAAATAAAATTCTGCAAAATATCGAAATGCGGAGATCTCTTCGAACGTCATTTTTTTGTTGCACTTACGCTTGCGCGTGACATCCTGGATCCAATCAGCCTTTGCTGCGCTGACCGGTTTACTGAGCACGCGCCTTAAAATTGTTACTTTTTAGATCTTTCGCAACGGCAAGGCTGCAACTTGTAAGACAGCGTAAAAGGCAGGATCCGCTGTGTGTTGCGAAAAGACGCATGTGAACCCTTGATGTCTTTTCAGCCGTCTTCCGGCCTGCTCTGTATGCCTCCG